TTGTTTTCGCAACATGGTCATATTGGTAGGAAGACTTAGAGGAACGCACCTAGTCCAGAGTCCATTGTCTACATGATCATTTCCAAAGTCAGAACGTGGACGTGGTACATATCCAAACGTTTCGCCGGCATCGTTAGTGAGTATCGCCATCCTTAGTACCGAACAACAACTCGTCAAAGAGACAAGTGAGGCCGATGGCGATACTCACTGACGATGCCGGCGAAACGTTTGGGAATGTACCACGTCCACGTTTTAACTTTGGAAATGTTCATGAAGACAATGGACTCCGGACTAGGTGCGTTCCTTTAAGTCTTCCTACCAATATGACCAAGTTGCGAAAACAAACAACGAAAGGAGACTGCGACCACACAAAAGACCACACCATCTTGGTCTTCATACCTTCGAAAGTCACGGCGAATTCATTTTGCCAGCAGTTGTTCATCTATTGGAGAATTCCGTTTGACAAATTTATCGAGTTAGCCATTTTCGTTTCTAATGGAAATGTGAGGGCTATTGCTAAGCAAAAAGGTTAGTCTCAAAGCCCTACTTACAAACAAAAAATAAGTGATGTAGTCGATTTTCATAAAAAATATAACTTTGCTAGGTCGAAATTGCAGTACGCCCTGGATGCGAATATCTTTCGGAAAATTCAATAGTAACGTCATGTCTTCGCATATGATTGTGGGAAATTTCAACTAACAGTCCTTCACATCTTAAACCGAATAGGGTGAATTCATTTCATATAACAAATTGGATATCTGTCTTGGTAGTTATGCTCCGCTCATGCGAAACAACTCACCTGTCTTCGATTATTGCCGGTGGCACTTCTCGGTCTGACCGGTCCGAGGTTCTGGCAGAACGGACTGTCTAACCGAGACTTCCGACCTGCTTCGGACGCCTCGTCGCCAGCCAGATCGCAGCCTCCCGGCCGCCGTTCCATCGCGCCCGGACAACAGATATGCTGGTGACTGGTCGTCTTGACTCCGGGCAACGGAGGCAGCTGAGGCGGCGGAAACGCCGAATCCTCGATGACGCCAGTCTCCGAGGCCGTCTTGCGAACGCCCACAAGAGAGCCGGTCACGCCGACGGCGGCGGCCGCTGCCGCCGCAGACACAGCCGCAGCTGCACACGCTGCCATGGTCGACATGCTGACGAGGCCGACACCTCCACTCGGACAAGTGTAGGCCAGACCAGCACTGGTGGTCGTGGTACCGCCGGTGCCTGTGGCGCCGGCGAATCCGGTGCTGGTCGTCTTCAGTCCGGACGAGGGCGGCGCCGCCTCCGGGCAGACGGAATGTGACAGAAGTCTGTTCGTTTGCAGAGCATCTCCGCGATACCGATCCTCGGCCAGGGGGCCCGAAAAGGCCTCCTCCATGGGGAGGGGGTGGGGGGCCGGCCGGTCGCTGGGGTACCCGGGGAAGCTGGAGATCATGCCGCCCGTGTTCGGGTAGGCGGGGTAGGCCGCCGCCTGTGTCTGCATGTAGGGCTGGTAGAAAGGATGGGTCGGAGCGAAATGGTTCATGTAGCCGGACGGTCTGAGCGGATAGGCGTAGACCTCCTCCGAGACACGAGCATTCTCCGGCGACTCGAGTTCCACCTGTTGTTGTGGCTGTGGCGGTGCCATTTCTTGCACAGGCGCCTGATGATGATGCTGCGGATGGGTGTGGTTGTGGCTGTGGTTGGGCTGGAAGTGAGCAGGGTAGCTGGGGTGGCCGATTGCCCTTGGAGCCGGCGTCTCCCGAGCAGACGGCGGCCTTGCGACCGCCTGTAGATGCATCTGCTGCTGTGGGTTGTGGTCTTGACGCGGCAGACGATCATCTCCTCTCAGTCCGTGCCCTTGCGGCGGGTGAGGAAAGCGCAGGTCCGCTTCAGAGTTAGTCGACGGTTGGCCACGGTGTGCATGCTGATACTGATGCTGGTGCTGATGGTACGTTTGATGTTGGTGCTGGTGCTGAGGTTGAGGTTGAGGTTGAGGTTGGTTGGCTGGGCTGTGGTGAAACGCGACATGTGTGAGGGGTGGCCTGTAGCCCGAAACGGAGGCTGTATATGCGGCTGAGTCTACCTCGTCAACCTCGGCTGAGGCCTTGGTTTGCCCGGCCGGCGAGAAGAGTGCATCGTCCAGTTTGCCTGTCTCTAGGCTGGCGACTGCCGACGCGTTGACGACCGCCTCGGCGGCGTCGGCGGACAATGATGCCGTCTTGTCGCCGGTATCGTTCGTCTCGTAGCCACGCCTTGAGGGATAGAGCAGAGCAGAGCCGGACAGTCCGGCCTCGTAGAGACGCGTGAAGCTGCAGGCATGACAGAGAAAGTGGCCAGTGCCGTCGGGGCACCAGTCGGAGGCTGTGAGAACTCCACATTTCACGCACTCCCGGTGCCCGGCTCTAGCGGACACCAGGGAACTGGCGGGAAACCCAGTCTCCTGCAAGCCATAGTCTAAAAGAAAAAAAATTTTGGGCAATTTGTAAATACCGCCATTCTCTCAAGCATCTACTCAATAAACCGGCCAATAGAACTGGTGCAATCGAAGGTCTAAAGGTCAATATGATGTACCAAGTCCATGGCCCGACCCTGAAAGTTGTCATGGCTACTACAGCAGAGGACTATCGAAAAGGTGCAACGAGTTCAGGCCATTTCTTTAGAATGGATTCAGCCTCGTTTTTGTAGCCTACTCGTGTTTCCAGGGCGATCTTGATGCATCCACATTGTCCGAACTCCTCTGTGGACCAAGTGTACCCCTAACCAATTCACAATCCGACTACAATTTTGACGAAATATCTACCAACTCCACAGAAATCATCATGACCAATCACTTAGAAGTTGTTCTGATAAACTAGCAAGTTAAGGTAACTAGATCACACAACTTCTGCCTACTACCGAAAGAAAGGCCACACTCTTTTGGACATCATCCTTTCATTTGTATTCCGACTACCGAGTTTCCCTGTTATGTGTGAGCGTCCGTGTGCAATGTGAAGAGAGTCAAAGATCGATCTTCCTCAACTGACCTATTTTGACTAAACGTTCTGTGCAAAAGCCATGAAGCTGTACATCATTTTAGGATAATTCCGAACCAAAATTTAATATAGACAACACCGCTTTCGCAAATTGATCAGGTTAACACAGAGACTTTAGATAACTTTCTCCAGCATTGTTGCCATGCGTTAATACATTGAGTTAATCAGGATGATGCCCTGGCGCATTCCCTGACAGCCGAGGCTTAGCTACGAAGAGTAGCTTGGTTTCGATGACTCTCTTAGGATAACATTGTTTCGCAGACTTTCATTTCATAAAAAAGCGCACAATAAAGGTATGCGTTGGTTAGTCTCACTGGAAGACGATGGATAATCCTGGTTGCTCAACGACAGTGTGTTTTTAAGACGATTTTCAAGTTTATGCAATCCATAAAACATCCTTTCTCGTTTCGGGTGAAGCAGGGCTGGGCTTTTGTCCATTATATGATGGACATCATCAGAGCAGCATTTAAGTTAGCACTAAGTCAAGAAGACTTAAGCTTCATCATACAAGCTATATATGCTCATGTCCAAAGACGAAAACTTATATATATATATATATATATAGTCAGCTCTCCTTCACAGTATTCAGACTACCTTCACTTGAGTGTGCGACACGCAGAGTCAGGCACACCTAAGTATGATTACTCTGATTAATATAAAGGAAAACTAAATAGCCCACTTTATATCTAGATTTGTTTGCTTATAACTATATATAGCATGTAGGATAGAGACGGTTACTCTTCTTGATTCCGAGTTAGCAATAATGTGTTGCAACTCTGATAATGTCTATCCTATGATGGACAAAAGCTCGGTTTGGTTGCGCCCAATACGAGGGAGGATACCTCATGGACTACGTCAACTTGAACATAATATTAAAGCAGATCCGATAAAGAACAACGGAGATCAGCCGTCAGCGAGATCAACCAACGAATCT